TGCCTGGCGCAGGGCCGGCAGGAGATGGGCGTAGTGCCGCCCGCGTGTTGCGTGTAGCCCTTTGAGCTCTGCAGAGCATCGTTTCGGATGCCTTTCTGTGGCGTCGGCGCGTCCGTGCGAGGGCGGGGTGGCACGGAGCCGGGGCAGGCAGCGCTGCGGGGTCGGGGTCCTCCGCAGTGCGCACAGCGTCCCTGGGAGGAAAAGGGAAAACCATTCCGGGGGCTTGAAGGGTAATAGTGAAGAGCAAATTGGATGAGCCCCTCAACAGTCTTTCTCTCTGTTAGTTATATAACCAGAGTTGAAATAATTTACCAGCTCTCGGGAATTACTTCTTACCGGTTTTCTCTGAGCCTACAGACAGGCTATTTCAAGCTCGACCTCAGCGACTCGTTAGTAAGTAGTCACTGCAGTTCTTCCCGACCTGTGCCAGTGTGCCGAGTGTCCCTGACGGGAAGATCTTCAATAAATAAGTAACAATTGATAGGAACCCCCCCTTTTTTCACAGCCCTGTCTGTATATATATCTCTGCACTTTATGGCCACATAATGTCTCTGGGCAAGCGCAGCGATTAATTTTAGGGGAAGAAGCACTAAGTGTTTAAGGTAGTTTTGGCTTTATTTAATGCATTAGTTTTGGGAGAAAGCCCCTTCCGTGGTGTTGCCAGCCTGGTCCCGCCATCGGGAAGTGCTGTGCAGACCATCGGGAGTTAATTTTATTCCCCAGTTCGTTTGCCAGCTCTGGCCGCCGGGAGCGACGCAAAGCGCCCTAGGATGGGAAAACGGGCAATATGCTGCGTGGTGCGAGTTGTCCTTCCAGCTCGGGATCCTCTGTCACCGGTGGCCAAAGCCCTGTGCTCTGGAGAAGGGTTAGTGCATCACTTCCGTGCCTTACCCTGTCCCCAAAGAGTGCGCTGCTCCAGTGTCACTCATCAGAGGCTCATGAGGACCTGGCCCCCAAGGCTGGGTATCCTTTGCTCTGCCGCACGGCTGCAGAGTTGGATGGGGAGAGGCGAATTCTCCTGGATCTAGAACAGAAGATGCAGCTCTCATACCAGAGTTGGGTGCGATGGATACAAAGAGCGACGGCTCCTTTGGGTTTGGTTGAAAATAGCTGCCTTAGAGCATGATTTCAAAATAAAAAATAATCTGTATCGTGGCACTCTTAAAACATCCGTGTATCTGTTTATGAAGCCTTTCATCGGTTACCCTGTGCCTCTTAGTTCGGCGTGGGACTGCCTTTGGCAGGACACAGATTGCACAAAGCTCAGCCGTGGCGTTGACTTTAAGTAATGCAAAATTGTGACCTGCAGCAGGGAAACAGGTGGTACATGTAAAAAGGTTTTGTTAATATCTAATTTCACTAACTTTTAAAACCGTGGCTGCTTCTAGGTTAGAATGAGTGATGCTCTCCACTGAATGAGTGCTGGGGATGGAAATGGGGAGGGAAAGGCCTTCGCCTTCCGCTGTCGTGCGTCACGGAAATGACCCTGTGAGGGTGGTGGGGTTGGGGATGGGGAGGGTTGGATGGGGTCGTGCCTACGCATCGTCTCTTCCTCCTGCGCTCTGCAGGGACGTGCGTGTTATCCCCCGGCTCTCTCCAGAGGTACGGGCTGAACCGGGCTGTGCGGGGATCCCCCCGACGCCCCGGAGGCGGTGAGCGGGTGCGGAGGTGCGGGAGCTCCGTTTCCATCCTGCTGCGGGAGGGGGCTCCCAAGGACGAGCTGTTCCTGTGCGTCTCTCGGTGCGTGTCTCGCGGCAGTCAACAGAGACACGGACTTTGGCATTTGAGAGTTTTCCATTGTTATTTTCAGTTGGGAATTACCAGTTTAAGCCAAATGAATTGTCCCTGCAGGATGGATTCGTCCTAGCAAATGGTAAAAAAAAGAGTGGATTTATAGGGAATGCTTAATTAGCAATAGCTATTGATGGATGAGCGATATCTTTCATGTCAACACCACGTGGAATTTAAAGCTTCAAGGCTGAATGCTGTAAATTAGCTGCTTAATTTAAATATGGCTAGTTTAACTTTTTTTTTCTTTAAAATTAACTCTATGACTAAAAAGAAAACACTTCTTCGAGTTTCCAGTGGAAAATTCTTTGTCCATAAATGAAAAGAGCCTCTGGCAAAGAGAGCGTGTTTAAAGATGGGAGTCCCACGCGCTTTCCTTCTTGGGTAACCGTGACCAAACCCCCTCGTCCTTCCCCTCGGTGGCTGTGCAGCTGAGGAGGACTCTCCTTCAAGTCGACCTTTTCTGATATAACGTAGCCGTGGTTCCGCCGGCACCAGCGGCTCTTCTCATTTATGGACAAGGAATTTGAAAGGTTGCCGCCGCTCCTTCCCCTTCCAAACTGGGCACTGGTGACGGGAGGTCACTGCGGGGCCTCGGGGTGAACGGGGTGGTTCGTGGGTGCTGTCACCTTCTCCGAACAAGTCGACGGCGCAGTATTTCTCTTCACCATCAGCAGCAACGCACACATGTGTGTGCCCGCCTACTGCTTCCAGCGCTTTAATACAGCCTTCAGTATTTGCTGGGGTTAGAGCATCTTCAAAACCCTATTTTCTTTTTTCTTTCTTTTTTTTTTTTTTCTTTCAGCAGCAGTTTTCTGGATCTGAGATCTCACAAGAGAAAGTCACGTCAGCCCCGAATGCAAGAAAATGATCAACTGCTTCCCAAGAGTAAGCGGAAGAAGAGCTAACGCTGCAGTGCGGTGAAGCTTCAAACAGTGCGGCAGGCTTAACGCTGAGAAAATATTCCTTCGTTTTTTCCAGTTTTCACTGTATCTGGGTACTTAATAAAATGCTGAATTTTGCGTAACTGCCATTCAACCTGCCTTAAAATAACCAGATTGGAGTGCGGGTGGTTCTTTGCTTGCGGCACTGTGGCCGTATGGCTTTAAGGTGCCGGAGTGCTGCTGGAGCCCGGAGCGGGTCCCTCTGCGCGCGGCAGCGTCTCCGCTGGCGGTCGGGGGGCTGTGCGGTGCCGCTGGTCCCGCTCGTGTCCTGCGGGCGCGTGTTCTACCTGCCTGAAAGCACTGGTGGGACAGGGGTTTCCCGGGGTCAGGCTGATGCTGGTGCTCCGGTTTCCTGGCTGGGCTGGGGACGGGGCGCGGGGGAGCCGAGGGACGGGTGGGCGTCTGTGCTACAGAAATATGCTTTTTTTTTTTAATATATCCATGTAAACTGACTCATTATTATGTGTTATTATTTCAGTTTAAACTCATTAAATTTGAAAGAAATTGGAAGGTCGTTGGACATTATGTATTCTAGCTTTAAAATAAATATTAGCATTAAAAAGCCTTATCTTTCTTAGAAAATGAAGAAATTTTGTAATGAAATATAGCAATGCAAGAAAATTGAAGTAAACCTGAACAACCGGGCAGGTTTTTAAAAATACAGCTTGTAAGCCAAATACATACCATTAAAATATTCAAAGATGTTCTTACTGCGCCCAAAGCTTTGGCCGTCACTTTTCGTCAGGAACTCTGCAAAGAAAGCACAAAATCTGTTCAAGATTGAGGGTTGTGTGTCGGTTGACTTCAGGCTGTAGCTGTGATTGGCACTGGACACGGAGCTTCCAGAACTATTCCTCCCCAAGCCGTGGTGGCGGGCAGTGGTGTTCGTTAGAGCGGGCTGAAGCTGCGGGAATGTGAGCTCTGGTAAATCCACCGAGGTGAGTAGATGCAGAGGAAAAACGGGACGCTGATTTTGTTTGTTTGTTTTTTACTAAAAACAAACCTTTTGAAAGAGATTAATGATTGACTTCTGCTTTTAGCTCTGCCTTTTAATTATAGCGATTAATACACGACAGATTTAAATTTTGTGCAGTTAACCGGAGAAGAATAAAAATGTTTGTGTGCATAATGGTCAATGACATTCATGTAGATCGGTTTACCTCTGCTGCTGAGCGTCCCCCGGAGCTTTTTATTGTTATGTTTTAATGATATTTGAGTTAGCGACACTTCATTTGCTTTAACGTGGTAATGATGTCCGCTGTCATACAGAGAAAATAGCTTCAGAAAACTCTGTTGGTCGTATGAGAACATCAAACCCACGGCCTGAGTGTAGAGGGGAGCGTGACGGCCGGCGGCGGTGCCCACGGGTGGTGCGGGACACGGGGCAGTGCCACCGGGCTGCACCGCATACCATCCCGCACTGGCACTGGTGGCGGCTTGCCGGGGCGGG